GTAGTATTGGGGGCTGTTGAGATGCTCTTAGTAGTTTAGGCTTGTATCCATTGTGGATTTGTGTTAGAGTAGTATTGGGGGCTGTTGAGATGCTCTTAGTAGTTTAGGCTTGTATCCATTGTGGATTTGCTTGTGATTGGGTCTTTTTTCTTCTCGTTGTTGTCCTGTGGTGGTGCTTGCCGCTATCGTTACCGCCGCTGGCGTCTCAGTATGTGTGCTTGCAATGACCTTTGGCTGCTTTGATGCCATCTCCAACGCTTCGTCTGCAATCTCGATCTGTTCTTCGCCTCACAGATCTAGTCGCTCCATTGCCGATTCTCATCGCTGAGTGCAACCTTGATGTTCGGTGCGGCTCCTTCTCCATGCTTTGTTCGATAGGAGTTGCCTACAAAAAGTACTACTCCAGTTCTTGAACTCTTCATGGCCTTTGCCTGTTGCGCGGTTCTTCGTTTCAAGCGTCCTCCACCTTGGGTCCTGGCTTCGCTTTCATCTATGCTTTGTCATCATCCATATAACAAATCCTTCGACGAAGGCGCGTAGCGTCGCTGGTGAGCTAGTCTCACCTTACGTCCATTGTGGATGCCCTGCCACTCTGACGCGAGACTTCACTGACTTGCTCGGTGACTCCGACAGGGTCAACAAATGACACCATCTTACACCACGGGGTCTCTGGATGTTTCTCACTCTGATGGACATCTCTGCGTAAACGTATTTGTATTTGGGTGTTAGATCATACTTGGTATGCTTGTATTCTATATCTTGTTGCAAGTTTATTTGCAATATAACATTCAGTTTAAAGAAAACGTTTAGAGGTCCGTCTCGCCATTATGAGGGTTTTGGAGGGTCGCATCGTCATAGAGAAAAACATGAATAAAAGAGGAATTGTCACCTTAGGTGTTTAAATCTAGGGAGTAAAGTTTAGAGATGTTACATCGGGGTGTCACGTGGGAGTGTTCGAATAGTAATAATAAAACAAATTATAGAAGTCCTCAGTAATCTGCGAGACGAATTTATTAAGCCTAATTAATCCCGTCATTAGCACATATGACTGTAGCACCACATTATCAAATTATGGACTAATTAGGCTTAAAAAATTGTCTCGTAAATTAGTCACCATCTGTATAATTAGTTATTTTTTAATCTATATTTAATACTCCATGTATCTGTTAAACATTCGATATAATAGAGAGTAAATTTTAGGTAAACAAGGCCTCGATGACCCTGAATGGGCGAAGGAGAGGAGGGTACCATCATCAATCGTTTTTGTGGTAGGTGATTGGTTTATACGAGCACTAGTGGAGGCATGGTACGAGCACTAGTGGAGGCGTGAACATTTATAGTGGGGTGGTTGCTAGGGATTGACTGGGCTTATGTGTGCATATTTTTTTCTCTAACACGTAAAAGGTTCGTTAAGTAGAGAGAATGTTTGATCGTGCATATGAAATTCTGTTCATACTTTTTTAGGTAACCAATCATGTCCAAGTTGTATATGTTGGTAGCTAGACTGAGGTGTACTAAGGTAACCGATTGGTAGGCTAGTTGAATTAAAATCCTGGATCAGACAACTCTCGCTAAGAATACTTTACCTTTCATATAGCTCATGGCAAAAAAACAATTGGGCTCAACTAAGGATACTTTACCTTAAGAGTACTTTATCTCAGAGAGAGAACCAGCACAACTAAGAATACTTTACCTGTTCTCTTAAGGTAGCGTTTGGTTGGGAGATAAGATAGGATGGGATGGTCATGTCTCTAGTTTGTGGGACGGGACGAGTTTATTTTCTGTTTGGTTAAGAAAGGATGGTACCAACCCGTTTTCTGTTTGGTTCAGAGACATCAAAAGTAGGATGAGCCACTGACATATAGGGCCCACATCCATCAGATTTTTTCCCTTTTCTTTTTTTTCTTTTTTCTTCTTCCTTATCCTTTCTTCTTCATTCTTCCATCTCGGACCGCGAGTCGCGACCCGCGCTTGCTGCCCGGGCCTCCACCGGCGATCTCCATGTGCCTCCTCCGCCCTCCACCCACGATCCCGCACCTCCTCCGCCTCCACCCGGGACCCCTTGATCTTTGGTGGCCGGGCCTCCGTTCATCGGAGTCGGCCCGCTCGACCTTGTTTCGCCCCTGTCTGCCAGCCCAGAGCCACGAGTCGCCCACGGAGTTGCCCGGTGCTTGACGACGAGGCCGGGCATAGCTCATGCTGGGCTGGTGGTGGAACCCGCGCCGGCCATCCTCTCTCCTCTCCCTTCTCCCCTGCGCGTCTGTGCGGCGGCCCGAGAGGCGGCATGCTCATCCAAGACAATGACTGTGAGGCGGGCGGCGCCGCCCCAGTCGGGTTCCTCCGTCTTCAAGCTCCTCCGGCGTCGTCCTTCTTCCTCCCATCCTCTCCCTTGACGCCGTCCGTGAGTGGCGCACCTTCTCTCCTTCTTCCTCGCCACCAGCCCGCTCGTCCCATTTGGGCTGATCCTGTCCCCTCGATTTCGTGGAACGGGGGGCGTCTCAAATCTGTCGGCATATTCCTCGCAGGGACGGGCTCGCCCCTGGATGCCTCTCATCCAAACAACCCTCATCCCAGGATCATCCCACTTCATCCCAGTTGATCCCCTCAACCAAACAGACGGTTAGGGGGCCGGTTGGAATCTACTTAATAAATTAGATTATTTGACTTGAAATTTCACATTCCACTACTTTGTAAAGTTCACATATAAGCCTATCTCAAATTCATAGTGTGAGAAATGAAAATTGATTATATAGATCACCATTCTATTAATCTTATAACACGCTTTTCAACTCGCTATCCTACGGTAGAAATGCAACACATAAGTATCTCTCGTATAGCCAGCAATAATATACAAATATCTATACACAACCATATTAGCTTAATTAATATATATATAAATTATAAATATTAAAATAAGTTAAATTCTATGATCCAAACGGGGCCAGTATTCTCGTAAGGTAACCAACTGGTAAGCTGAATGGCTTATATAGGAGAACAGGGAAGAAACGACATTCTTTCTAATAAGTCATGTGCTCAACTAGGCTGAATACTTCGCATTGCCCATAATCAACTACTGTCCTATATACAAGCACATGTTCGTTTATACTCAATTACTCCCGCACATGCTAGTATAGAACTTTCTTTTGTATAAAAAAATCAGTCCACTTTTCCGAGGGTTCCATTCAGATTAAGCTTTATTTTTTTTAATATAAATAACTGTTTCTTGCGAAGCTCGTGAAATAAAATAAAAAAACAGTTACAATTACAACATCAGAACGCTCTGGACTGGAGTCGATCGTCGACTACTCGACTTCGACAGTTCTCTTCATCCGCGGCAGCGCTAAACCAAAAGGCAATGGCGGCGGCGGCGGCGGCGAAGAGCGTATGCGTGACCGGCGCGGGCGGCTTCATCGCGTCGTGGCTGGTGAAGCTCCTCCTCTCCCGTGGCCAATACACGGTCCGCGGCACCGTGGGCGACCCTGGTAAGGCTCTCAGACCTCCCTCTCATCGATCCGTCGCGCCCCCTGACTTCTTGGTCACTCGGCGGGCGATTCTTGTGCTCCCTCCGTCTAAAAGGATTGTACTTCATCTTTTTTACGAATCAACTAATTTCTAGCTGTTTAAACGTTCTTGAGCGCGGTGCTGCTCGGGAGTCAGCATTCTGCTTTCTGGTTGTTTCTGGTTAGGCTGGTTTCTAGGCTGTTGCGTAAGCCCCTAAGGGCTAATTTGGAAACTCAAATCCGACTTTTCCCGGGGTGGGAAATGTATAGGGAAATAATTTGAATAATCCATCGCTGGGTGTGGCTTCCCTTAGCTTCCAAATTAGTCCAAGGTTTTTTGCCATAGAAATGGTGAAGGTTCCTCGTGTGGAAAAAAAACTAATTTTAAATTTTATCAAATATAAAAAGGTACTAATATTTTTTTAGATTTTTCGTTCCTGAAGAAACGGGAGGAGCCCCGTACTCGTTAAAAAATATATTTTTTAGATTTGATAAGCGACTTGTTTTTAGACCGAAGACCTCACAGTCCCGGTGACAAGACTATCTCCAACAACATCACCCAAAATATAAGACTCATTCCATGTGTGGGTAGTGCTACAGGCAAATGGTTCAATACCTTTTTTTTTCTTCTCCAACAAACCCAAAAGAGAACCATTTCTACAAATGAGTCTCCAGGAGAGATGATATTTATATTTGGGATATGCCTCTGCTGTAACCTAAAATGGGTCTCGCAGTATTCTGTTGGAGGCTGATACAGTAATATCCACGACCCATTTTGTGTTTGGGTGCCCATATGAGTCATCCATTGGAGATGACTTCAATATGGATATCATTGATAAGTGACTTCAACAGATATCTTTGGTCAAGGGGCTAATGGAAGTCAGCAGCATGTGCTCAGCAAGCCCACAAGGGCAGACCACCCAAAAAGAAGAAATAATGAGGATTTTGACTTGGAATATCAGGGGCAGACCATTAAAGAGAACTTCTTCAATATGGTCTACAAGACTAGCGAGGGCAAAACCATGGTGTGGGTTTGGACACCTGCTGGACTGTAGAGGCAAATCAGGAGGCATGCAGATTGGGATTAACACTAGCCTTCTGGGGGTTGAGGAGAGTCTGGTAATTGTTTATGGACCCTGCTCAGCATGAATTTTCTATATACTGTATCCATGAACTCTCGGAGAGGGAGACATTAGGAATGTGGAATCACATTTTTTTTTATTTGAGGATACACAGAGGGGATAGCTACACATCTTTCCACTGAAAATAAAAGTTCCATTAAGGCTGAAACAAATTGAAAAATAAAGGAAAAGAACACTAGCAGCAGGCTAAAAAAAAACAGGGCCTGATGAAAAAAAAGTTGAACAGATATTCTTTTTTTGTTATGATGGACCAAGATTTTTGTTTTGTTGTCATGGACCAAGAAATTTGTTATATATATGATGAAGATGTATCTTGTTTCTCCGGTTCAAAAGAAGATATATCTTGTTTGTGCTCTAGGTGCTAGCAAGAATGCTCATCTCAAGGCGCTGGAAGGAGCTGGGGAAAGGTTGCAGCTTCTCAAGGCTGATTTGTTGGACTACAGCAGTGTTGCATCAGCAATTGCTGGCCGTGAGGGTGTCTTCCATGTAGCTAGCCCTGTCCCTTCCGGTCGGTCCTCCAACCCTGAGGTGAATTTGTCAAGAACATCTATTTCATATTTTGTTTCCTGAAGTTTTGAGGTTAAATAAGGAGGCGTAGAACACAGTTATTTCAAAGGCTGCAACCAATGCTACTCCTGGGTCCTGGTAAGGCTTTGCTTCCAAGGCTTCAAGCTATAATTCTAACCTGACATGGAATTTTCTTTAGCATCTATTTTCATAAACCAGGAAAAAATTCAGAATGTCCTCAAATTATTCTAATTCATATGAGACATGCTGAATTCATTTACTATCTTGAAACAAGCGTGAGATATGCAACATTTGACCATTTCTTAAGGGTATCTGTGTTTAACTGCAACTCAATTAGTGGCAACAGAATGTTTTATGATTTTATCAATTCTTGCCTGCACAGCATCATTGTGGCTTAGCTATCTGGTCCTACCTGTAGACATATGTAAAAATTGGTTAGTTTATTAATGAGCACGTGATATGATAGTTTATCCTTTTCTTGCCTCTCACCAAATATTTCTGACATACAGGTGGAGGTCATAGGTCCTGCTGTAGTAGGAACAACCGGAACAACCAATGTGTTAAAGGCTTGCTATGAGGCAAAAGTTAAGCGAGTTGTGGTGGTGTCTTCTGTTGCAGCTGTATTCAGTAACCCTAACTGGCCTAAGGACAAGGCCTTTGATGAAGACTGTTGGTCAGATGAGGATTACTGCAGGAAGAATGAGGTGATACGGTTGTCCCTTAGTAAAGCAATGGTGTTGCTTGTGCAAATAATGACATAGCATAGAGAAAAAGAATTATCTTGCACTCTCACAAGAATTATCTTTTGACATTCTTGCATGAAAGCTTAACTTCTCTGAGTTCCTTTTTGGCCAAATTGGGGGCTGAACTGATTAGTATTGTGTCAAGATTGCAGTCTTAATTTACAGTTAATCCTCATAGTTCATATGGTTTGAAACCCCTTATTTGCTATTCATGCATTATATCCTTATTTTTCTTGTTGCACTTCCAAAAGGGAAGCTTAACTCAAAGAAACCGCGTAAGGCAGGCCAATTGTCCGCAAGTAAAAAAAAAGGAGGTCTAGGAGTCATTAATCTATCAACGCACAATGCCTTCTCCTGAAAACTCTTCATAAATTCTTCAATAGAATAGATCTCCCTTGGGTCAGTTTGGTGAATGGGAATGGGACTCTTCCAATTTTGACAAATAAAGGATCATTTTGGTGGAGGGATATAGTTAAGCTCCTCGATATTTACAAAGGTTTGGCCTCCCCAATCATTGGAGATGGTCGAACTAATTTTCTTTGGCGAGATGTGTGGGATGGGTTGGCGCCACAGCTGCAATTTGCTGAACTCTTCTCCTTTGTTATGAACAAAAATATCTTTTCAACAAGCAATCCAACTAGAAAATTTACACAAACTCTTCCACCTGCCTCTCTCGGTGCAAGCTTTTGATCAATATCAAGGTCTCGAGTTGAAGCACAACAATATGGCACTATTGAAGAGTGAGACCAGTGGCATTATATCTAGGGCAACCGTAATTTCTCCTCTTCTCACGCTTATAAAGTATTAGTGGGGCACACAACTTTACCAATGTCTTACAGATGGCTTTGGAAGTCTTCTTGTCAACTTAAACATGAATTTTTCTTCTGGATGCTTATGAAAGACATACTAAGCACGCGAGGTTTGCTTCAACGTCATAACATGGATTTGCCCTCCTATGATTGTGTTCTTTGCTCTACCCATTCAGTCGAGACGGTTGACATCTGTTTCTTCACTGCCCCTTTGCTTTGGATTCTTGGAGTCTAGTTTCACTGCAAGTGCCTCAGTTGATTGATCCACATCTTGTGTTACAAGCTTTCAAGGAGAACCTTGCAGTTCCTTTCTTCATGGAGATCATCGTTTTACTCGCTTGGAGTATTTGGGTAGTGGGAAATTACTGCATGTTTAGTCAAATCTCGCTTTCTGTGCAGGCTTGCAAATCCAAGTTCATTCATGAATTCGTTTCGCATCGTGCGAAGATGAGTTATTTCCCCCTTATAAGTGACTCGCTAGATTTTTTTGTGTAAATCTAGCTTCCTTTTCTTTGTTTGTTCAGTTGTTTAACTTTTTTCTAATATATATTTTTATGCAGTAGGGGTTCGCCCCTGCTATTTCTTAAGGAGTGCTACTCAAGCCACCTAACCAACTCAGCTAGAGGCCCTAGGTGGAATTTATTAAGAAGAAAATAGGCTCCCAAATTCGCCTCAATGAGAACTTGAACCTGGGTGGTTTGGGCATACATCAACACCCTCCACCAACTGAGCTAGCTCAGCTTCCTTTAAGCTTAATAGTTAATTTGCTGTATCATATAATGTCCTTGTACTAACCACAGAAAAATGTTGCTATTCTTGTGTTTCTTCATACTAAACTTGCTGATCTGGCTTGCCTAAAAAGATATTTGTTTTATCGTGCAGGATTGGTATTACCTTTCCAAAACCCTGTCCGAACGTGAGGCTTTTGTTTATGCAGCAAAAACAGGGCTGGATGTTGTAACTATTTGCCAGTTCTCGGTATTTGGACCCTTGATGCAGTCTATAGTAAATGCGAGTAGTAAAATACTCCTTAATTATTTCAAAGGTATAGGTTAATCCTATGTTATCTTAGTTTTCTACTCCTATGTTATCTTAGTTTTCTACTGGTTTGCATTCAGTTATATAATTAAAAATTTAAAATGATAATCTAGTCAGTAGTGTTTGTCTATTGTTTATTTCTGATTATCCATAAAGCACATTGATCAATTGCTGCAAAGTACTTTATCTACTTAAGAACAAGCTTCAATTAGCCTACTTAATTTAGCGGTTTAGTTATACATTTCTTCTGCAGGAGATCATGAGACTGTTGAAAATAGACTCAGAAATATGGTGGATGTTCGTGATGTTGCCGATGCTCTTCTTCTGTCTTACGAAAAACCAGAAGCGTCTGGACGATACATCTGCAGTTCAAATCCAATAAAAGTTTCTGATATGATAAACATATTGAAGACCTTATATCCAACTTACCCTTATCCCAAAAAGTAAGTCTCACCCTCTGATAGTTCCATTGTCTATAAGCATTCAGTTTTGTTCCCCTCTTAACCTCATCAGCTGATTTTTATCGACGCATCAATAAATACTTGCTGGCAGAATGGCCTTAGAAGAGAAGGATGCTAAAATGCCACTGATTTAACAACAAAAAAACTCTACTGTTTGTTTTTGTTATGATACTTCTTGAACTCATTGTGTAACCACACCATCAGGTAAGTTGAGGTGTCTACTGAACTAAGTCTTTTGATGTGAGTATGACATTCATATCTTTTAGATACTTCCATGCATCCACAGAAATATGGGAGATTTGATTTTAACTCTGAATGTTTTGGTGAACTGTTGAATTCTTGTTCATATTGTTCTTCCTTTCAGTTTTGCTCTCTCTTGACTTGGTTGGGACTTATATTTTCGTATTTCAATGTTTTGTAGCTCTGTTGAAACGGATGACAACTCCATATACAGTTCTGAGAAACTTCAGAAGCTAGGGTGGACCTTCAGGCCTACAGAGGAAACCCTCCGTGATAGTGTTGAATCCTACAAAGCATTTGGCATCCTGAATTGAGCATCCAACTGGGACAGTGAAACAGCAGTTCCAACAGTCCAATCCCTATCTGTTTCATGTAAACCGCGAAACAGAACATGTTGTTGATAACAAATTCAATAATTGCATCATGTTGGAATAGCACTGTATTTTTTTCAGTGTTATCTGGGGATTCAGTACGAAATGAGCAGGCCAATGCTGACTGTTGCATGGCTTCTGGCGTATTACCATTGATAGAGCTATAAATGTACTATTTTGCACTATTGCACTTAACTTGGGATGACCAAGCCGATACCAGTGTGCTGCAGGGGCGACGGTGAAGAGTGGAGACGTAGAATCATGTGGTATGTTCTGAGACCATTAACAGAAAAATACAAAGCCAAATTCGATGGTGAACCTGTTGTCAGTAGGGAATTTATGGACGGCGACAAGGTTTTGATAGAAGACAACCAAAACAATTTTATAAGACGTTGGATGAAGGTCATGTTGCCACGGAGAAAAGAATGAACACAGGAAGTGTCATCTGAATGACCATGGATTTGCCACCCGGTGCTTGCGCGCAGCATACTTGTACACTAGGGGCATTGTAGTCTTACAAGATCACACTAACCGTGTTTGTAACATGGCCGTCTAGCTTTTACTTACGGAGCGTGGGCCTAGTGTTAGACTCACTTCCGCATGGGGAAGGCCCATGAGCTCATTGGAGTTACCTGACCTAGAGCTTCGTCTTTGCGAGGGAGTCCAACGAGGACTAGAGGGGAGCATGAGCTTCTCAATACCTCGAGAAAAATACCTTCATCAATGGGAGTTTGCATTCTATACCTCTCTTAAGCTTTTGCACTTATATTATTTACCTAGCTTGTGTGCTTACATTTCTCTTGAGGGTGTTCTAAAGAGAGGCAGAGATGAAGTAGAGAGAGGGAGTGAAGTGGAAGTGTAGGAGAGTGAGTGTGTCCTGCTGCTGGTGAAGGAAGTGGAGACAACTGTGCTGACAGATGGGGCTAGGAATGCCCCAGGGAAGATAGCTCACTATTGTGCGTGAAGGTGTATGGGTGTGCCGGACAGTCCACGTGGACACTAAGTTTGTGAAAATTGCTACGTCTGTGGACATGCTCTCGTGAACGGTCCAGAGGTGCACCGGACGGTCTGCGGGAATATGGCAACGCCCAGAAAATTCAGTTTAGTGTAAATGTAGTTTTTTAAATTGAGATTAAAATGCATATGATGATTATGAAAATGACCATGTCATGACCGGACTGTGACACGCATAAACTGTGTAAAGGTGCCCATGGTTAGTTTGGCTCGTGGGCTTATAAATAGAGGGGGTGGCTAGTTGGTTTGGGCTTGCAAAGCATCTGCTACATAAAACCAAAAGACTGTCAACACCAAGCATTACAGCTAGATAGACTATTGCGAAGAGGAGCTTGAAACACACACAGGCACAACACAGCAAGGAGCAGCTCCGGCGAGAGAAGCGGAAGATGGAGCAGAGGCCTGGCCACAGGAGTGCCCTAACGATGCCTTCATGAAGGGGAGTGACATCCGCAGACGTCACCATCATTGGAACGAAGCACACAAGTAGGGGAGTGACACAGGCACGCACAACGAACGAAATCTTGAACGATACCTCCAAGGAAGTAAATGACGCAAGCTGCGCCATCGCCGCAGACCCATAGCAAGAAGGAGGGCAGGTTTCACCCAGAATATATTAGGCCATAGAGCCGGGGAGGCTGCCCAAAAGCCTTACCTGGCCCAACGCCTCGCCAGGCACACCACGAGGCCCGCCGCCCAGAACGCCGCCACACGGGAGGCCATCATGGTGACCGCCACGGCTGTTGCCGACCCCACTGCAGCCGCAAGCTCTCAAGAGGGGCGTGTCCCCCGCTAGCCGCAATGCAGCAGCCGTGCAAAGAGCAAGCTGGACTGGTGCGGCACGCCCCTGCCGCCACCACCATGGCCCCAAACAACCGGGCGAGCGCACGGACAATGGAGTTTCAGAGGTCGTAGATCCAGGGTGGAGGGCACTGGATCCGTCCTTGGTGAGCTTAGGCCACGCTACTAGCCACCCGCCAACCGGAGGGGGAGAGAGAGGCTGCAGGAGGGAGAAAGGACGAGGGAGAGCAGCGGAGGGGGAGGGCAGTGGATGGCGGCCTTTTTAGGTGCCACCGCGGCCGTGGCCGCCGCTCGCGGGAGAGTGGCGGCAGCCAAGGAGCAGGCCAAGGAAGGACCCTTCAGCGGTGGCGCGTCGCCCTGAATCACTACGCGTAGAGACGACATGGAGCCACATAGGGTTAAATTTTCTTTGAAACTATTTAGAGATTTCTAGATTGGTTAAATGGTTTTAAAATTATTTCGGAAGTTTTGGAATAGGAAGTTTTTATTGAACTTGTTCAAAATTTTAGTATCCTTTGGATGCTGCTTCGGACCTTCACTAGCTAAATAGGAAAGAGGGACAACCGATGAAGTGGGTTGGAGGGGAGGGGTTTTTTTTGGAAAGGAGGTGAGAGGGGAGTTTGTCACGATTTGTCAGAATTCATTCATTTGAGATGGAAGAAGGTCCTTTGTGTTGTTGTATTGTTGTCTGTATATGTTTTGATCGAGGGAACTTTCTGGTTGATGGTACGAGGATTAGGAAAATAATTATTTTATTAAGGCATGCTAAGCATTTGGCCCTATGAGTGGCTTTTTTAGTTCTGTGTGGCATAGCTCGAGCCCAAAAATCTACCTATATGAAGTTTGTTAATTTGCTAAAACTAAGAACCTTGAGTCTCCAATTTTGGCTATAATTTAATTAATAAAAAGAAAAGAGCTCAACTAAACAACTTAGGTGTGCCGGATGGGGTTCCACGGAGAGCGACCTCGACCATTGTCCTCTGTGCTGCTGGGAATTGTGGAAGCACCACCATGACGTTGTGTTCCGGGGTTTAGCTCCAAGCGTGGATAGATTAGTTGCTACATGCAGATCCACAGCAAGACTATGGCAATGTTGCTTGCCTCGAAACTCTCCTGTTCTAGCTAATTTTTGGATCTCAATTGCTTGGATGTAACTACTCTCCCATGCTGCTTAATCATGTTGTAACCTCTGGCTCCAAGCCAACATTCGGGATTCATATCCCTCCACCCACCAGGCTAAGCCTAGAATCTGTGGTAATATAATGAGGTGGGGACCGTTCGTCCCCCATGCCTTAAAAAAAAGGAACCACATATTTCTAGAGCTACGAGTCCTTCGCTCCAAATTTTGTTGGCTGGCAAAGGGAGCCACTACCCAAAACCATTTTTCCTCGTCGGCGTCAAGTACCCCCCCCTCGCGTTTTGCAACCTCCATCATGAGCACATCCACCTTCTCCTACGTTGCCAGCATACTGACGGGAAAACTTTTGCCACCGTCGCGGACCCATACGCATGCCCGAAACAAGGTTCTGAGAACTCAGTGCGCGCTCCAATCCCCTTTCTGGTCCACATATCAGAGAGAAGGGCCAAAAAAGGCGTGGACTGCTCAAGTATGAAGTGCACGAGATAAAAAGAATTCTGCCAACCTTATCCTCTCCTCTGCCTGGCCACAACTTATCTCGTTCTCCCCCAAATCTGTTCGTCTCCATGCTACCTCCATCCTCGCAAAAGCACTGGCCCCCTCTCGTTCCTCGCCGGCGGGCGCCGGCGCCAAGACCTCCACCACCGATGGCCTAATGTCGAACACCAGCGTCCCCATGCCCAACTCCTTTGACACCCGCCGCCACACTCGTTTGGCCTTGGGCGCCGATCGCCCGCTCCGCTCTCACTTCTCGATGCTACCACCAAGACCGCCACGCCGTCAGCAGCAGTACTTACAACAAGATATCTTGGCAACCCTACCTCTCTCTCTCCTCTCCCTACCAAATCATCCTCATCTCTCCAAATCATACACAAAAAGAAGCTAATAGATCACGCATGTCTTTTAGGGTAGTGGTGATCGGCCTTGTTTGCTTCCCCTTCCTTTCCCATCAAAATTCCAAATTGCCTTCTTGCGTGTAGATTCCATCAAGGGAGCAGATGATTTGAGTGATTGGACCAGCATTTAATTTGTTCTTATTGGCTTGTAGGCGCAGTCTTTTGAGCAGGTATGGGAGTGCAAAGGAAAAAACGACGACGAAGTCCTTCCCTGACGGTTATAACCCTCAGGAATCAATTGGTGATGGTTTTCTATCAGGGAAGATGGACTTTTCCCATCAGTTTATCTCTGACAGTAACCGTCATGGACGGCTTTCCTAGAAGGTATTTGTCGGTGCAGAAAGTGACCAACTAGTAAATATTTGTAGTTTTGCCGTACGTTGTGATCGGAGGTGGCCTAGCACTCAATGGCACAGGGTTTATACTGGTTCAGCCAACGCGCTCTACGTCCAGTTTGGGTCGGTCAGTGACTTTATTCCTGAGCCTAGGTGCTCGAAGTTTGCAGTGGGGTTACAAACGAGAAGGAGAAAGATGGGATGTACAAGAGGTCCGGTCGGAAGGGTCGAGAGCGACAGGAACTCCGCTATGAGCTATGTGTTCAAGCGTACGCTTGAGGTTCGAACCTGGAGATTCTACGGTTGTGGACTAGTGAACTTGGTCGATCTAATGAATCTAAAGAGGCTCTCCTTTGTTGGAGGGAGCGCATCCCCTTTTATAGATAAAGGGGATGGCTTTACAAGTGAGAGGGTGAGGGTACGTATGCTACTGAGCTTTGTTGCCTATGCCGGCGGGTACAAGATAATGGTAGGCGCCCACAACACTATTGATGTCACTGCAGATTGTCAGATGCATGTGGGAGGTTGCGTTGCCTTCTTCAGGAATGGTAGATGTCGATACCTGCAAATATTGTTTGATGCCTAGAGGCATGTGAGGAGTCTCACCACGTTCACCTGGTATGGTAAATCCCGATGCCCACAACACTATCGATGCCTAGAGGCATGTGGGGGGCCTTACCGTATGGGAGTTAACGGCGCCCACAATACTGTAGAGGGAAATGTCGACGCCTACAATACTGTTTGTGTCAGAGCGGTTGT